ATGAGACCACTTAGTTACGTTGTTAAAATCAATTTGTATCTTTTTCTCTATTTCATCTTGATTTTTGTCAGCACAAAGGATGCACATGTCATCCGCATACATAAAAACAGCAGTGTTCGATTACATTACATATACTGTTGACGTGCATTATATAGCCCGCTGGTAATACGGATCCAGTAGGAACACCTGACTTTACATTTTCCTCTTTTCCAGATATATTTTTAATAACTGTCACTATTTTCCTATTTTGTAAATAATTACTTAACCAATTGCTTATAGGACCACATATACCACATTTATCCATTGATTTCAATAAAAAAATTATGTTCAAAAGTGTCAAAAGCTTTTTTAAAATCAATAAATATGCCTACTACATGTTTCCTTTCATTTAATATTTCATTTATATAGTCTGTAAAGTTAGTTATGGCTGTGGCTGTACTCCTATTTGTTTGAAATCCATGCTGATGATCTCCTAATATAAAATTATTCTTTAAGAAATCAGTTATTTATTTAACAATTACTTTTTCGACTATCTTGTTTATGACAGAAAGTATAGCAATAGGCTTGTAATTTTCATAATTGTTATGGCTTCCTTGTTTATAAATAGGTCGAATTATTGCTTTTTTAAGCCTATCTGGATATATACCTTTTTCTACACATAAATTAATAAAATTAGCAATTACAGGACTAATTTGATCTTTGACATATTTTAAATCTTGGACTCTTATTCTATCAACACCAGGAGCTTTTTCACACAACAATTCATTAATTATTTTTTTAATTTGGCATGGAGTCGTTTTTCTATATCTTATACTTACCAAGCTTTCATTAACATATTTACTTCTATCCAAAAATTTCATATTACATTTATGCATAATTGTTTCTATTTCTTGTGTAAATGTTTTAGAAAAACCTGTACAAATCGAACTTTTATTACTATTACTACTAAAATGTTGTAATACAAAATCATCCACATTTACTTTTTTTACCTATCCATTGATTAATATACATCCATTTTTATCTCATATCATTTCCGCACTTAATAATTAACTCTTTTTTATAGTTATTCTTAACTAGGTTAATAGGCTTATTTAACTTATTTCTATATCTTGTATATTCTAACCGATAACACATACTTTGAGCAGCAGATTTCGATCTTTTAAAAAGTTCATCCCTTTTTTTAGTCATTAGAATTAGTTCATTTGTAATCCAAGGTTTATATCTTTTATTATTGATCACTATTTTATATTTTATCGCACCTTTATATATCTCATCGAAAATATCACATAAATTATTATAGAGTTTTAATGGACAGTTAATAGATAAAAGGTTCGACCAAATAACTGCACTCAACTTTTCTTTCATTATTTTGTTATCTATAATTATACTTACTTGTTCAGGCCGTTCACTCTCTCCATAATTACGTGTACGCAAAGTAAGTCCCGTTAAATAATGATCCGTTATCTTCTGAGCTGTATAAACAAACGATGCAGGCGGCGCCGAGCATCCTCCGTCCCTTACCCACATATGATCGATGCAGGACACGACCAAACGCCCATCAATTATCTCTTCTCTCGTGGCGTCATCATAGGCACACTGCAACCCGTACTGACATATCATGTCTTTATATCTCGATGTTGACGAATTTACTGTACCGTGCAAAATGTTAATGTTGACATCACCCGCCAGGATAATATCAGTCGTCGCTGGGACACCCCGCAATAATTCATCCAATTCTTCCACAAATCTATTTTTATTAGTATATGGGGGTCTGTACACGACGATACAGTATATAGGTCGTTCATTCTTTATTGTCATAAGGCCATGCAATACCTCACAAGAAATACCGCTATATTTAGTAGGTGTACAAGTTATTGTACCTTTGATGAACATTAAAACTCCTCCCCTCTTCGATTATTTCTTGTATATGCATGTGTATTGTAGCCCGGTATATGGTACAATGGTATTTCATATTCTTTTAAATTTATTTCAGTTAATACTATAATTTCTAGCTTATTTAAATATCCATACAACTGCACCAATATTTCATTAAAGTTTTTACGCATGGATCTTATATTTAAATGTATAATATTTATTGACGCATTTTGTTCATCCATGAACTTCGGTCTTTGTTATGAATTCGTTCATAATAAATGCCATTGTTATCATTTTGCGAAATTGTGCCCTTTTTTCTCACCATTAAAGATGTAAATTACTGTCACCTAGTAGGTAGTTTTCGATATCCTTCTCACTTTTAATTTGGTAAATTTTATTTTCCGCTTTAATTTTCTTAATAAGTACTTTAGAGTTTTGTATCCAAATGAACTTATATGAGCTTTTTAATTTATTCTTAGCGATATAAAATAATTCTCGAATTTGTGGAGCAATATTTTCATTTATGTAAATTGAACCTTTGGTATTATCTCCATAAAGCTGATTATTATTTATACATCGTTTTCTTGCTTTTTGCTACTTATCGCGAGCCGTACGACTTCTCAATCTCACAACCACCGGGCGCGGCTTTCCGTTATTTTTTCTCTTCCCAACCGCCAAGCACTCTCTATTTCATCTCCCATTTCCAACAGATGAGAAATTTTTCGCACAATTTCGGCTATATTCTCTTTTTCTTTGTATTGAACACCAACAACTCGATATTTTTTTCTCTTTCTCGATTTTCTAAGACACATATACGTTCTTCCATCATTTTATTGCACTTTTCTAAGTGAATATTTCGTTGTTTTAAATCCGTAACTTGATTTTCATGCTTCGTGAATTTTTCAATTGCATTCATCTTAAAATCTAACATTTCTTTGTACTTCTCTGCATAGTATTTAAATTGTAAGTTAATTTCTTCCAATTTTTTGCTCATTCCCTCCATTCGTTCATTAATTTGTTCAAGTACGACTTCATTGTCTTTAGCCGTCGGTGAACGTGGCGTTCCTACCCCCGCTTTTGATTCTTCACACGAATCACAAATGCCTTTAGTACTAAAACAAATTATATCTTTCACACATTTTCTATGAAAGGCATGTTTACACTTTTTACACTCCACATTGTCTTCCTTGTTACTTGGTAAAAGCTGTTTGCACTTTTTATTTTGCATTGCATTTTCGGCATTTTAGTGTTAATTAGTCGATCCAAACGTAAAAGTATTAGGCTTATAAATCCTATTACGCAACAGGCGTCCATTCGCTGAGAGCGCGCGCGCAGACCAATTTAAGATGACTAGATTGATTTTCTCGTAAAACTTGAGAGTAGAGTACCAAATCATTTATTCATTCATTTATGATTATAGTCTATCAAAATTTATTACCTCATAATATGAGGATAGTTGTCATAGTTGGCAGGCCAGTAGGCAAACGCAGTTTTTTATAATTCTAGGTTGCTGTCAAACTGATGCCCATCTTCTATTTCACTTCCTTCTGTCGCATCTTAGAGACCCATGGGATCATACGGGGTAGTGGATTTTCTTATTCCGTCACTTTACGGCAAAATTTTTAACTATTACTGATCGACGGGAGAGGGACCACGCTTTTCGTATCCCGCACCAAACAATTATTTGTATAGTCTTCAGATAATTGCTCCGTGTCTAGTCTTGTTGTTATGCAATTACATTTATGATAAATAAAAATCAATTTGATTAAGAAAAAAAAATTACTAAGGGTAAAATAACTCTAATGTCATATTTGTTTTTATAGGACAAGGGTCGCAAACGAGCACACATTTCACCTGATGGTAAGTGGTTGCAGTGGCCTATAAACATCTACATGTCCTGGATTAAGAATCAAAAAGCATAGGCGTTGTCAACCCTGAGGACTAAGGTGGATTTCATCCTTTCCAGTGAAAAGGATATCTGGTTCTTTACACTCACCATACTAAACACAGCAACATTAAGTTGGTATTTTGTGAAAACGTGGTCCCTCTCTCGTCGATCAGACCTATTCGAGCTACAGTATATAAACTAAGTACAAAAGGCATCGTTATGATAAATGCACGCGTGATCGCTCTCGCAAAGCCAAGGACAACTAATTGTTAATATGGCTTTATTTAGAAAAATATCGGCGGAGCCATGAGAATAGTTCCATCTACGGTTCAGATCCACAGATCCAACAGCACTTGCCGTCCGATAGCGGTATCTCCTCGGGAAAGACAAAGGGTCGTCGGAAAGGGCAGAACAGTCTGCCTGGCCAGCTAGTAATTTTGTAATTCTAATACAAATATATTGTAAAAATAAAAAAAAATGGAAATAGTTATTATATCAATATTTATTAATTTTACAATGTAAATTTTCTTCTAGTATTCATTAGTAATTAATCTTTTCAGATAACGACCCGTTTCGTTTAATACATCAGCGAAAATAGGTTAAACAGAATTGTATCTAAATTTAATAAAATCTGGCGTAACATGTAAAATAACAATTCTCTAACATTCAAGTTTTGAGGTAAAAAAGAGTCCACACAGCTTTTAATCATGTAAGAATGATTCTGATTTGGTAAACAGTACAATTTATAATTATGATTTTTTTTTCGAAATTTCCAAGTTTAATCAGCTCTCCTGTAAAGTTGCCTATATGTCGCTTTGTAATGTTTTCTTTTCACCGTCGATATGACTTTGCCCTAGACTAGTAATTAAAAATTATTTTGCTGTTTTTAGGTATTTTTATCAAAAATATATTATACGATCAACATATCACATTAGTTTTATAAAGAAATGTATTATTTCAGTTGATCGATATTTATAAATACCTGTCCTGTCACGGTCGCAAGTTTATTAATGCAGGATTAAAGATTCAATTGTTTGATTTTTAAGTGTTTAATTTCGTATTTTAACATGTATGTAAATTTAATATTTTTATAAGAAGATTAACAAAGAGATATGAAAACTAGAAACTAGCTTGGCGCGCGGGTTACTGTTGCGGCCATCCTCTGTGGAATGGCGGTCGTCGACTGCCCCTCCACACTCCAGCGCCGCCTCCCTGCAGCCCTGTGTCCACCTCAACATCAAACTTCATGAGTGTCGTCTCCCTCTACTGGAGCTTCTTCTTTACCATTAGCACCACCTGTTGCAGCCTTTTCAGCATCTTCATTATCATCGATGTCTACCGGGAGAGGACAAACTTTATTAAGTGCTCGTCGTTCGATGCCTCGGTGAGTACGAGTAATGAAATCTGCAACCCTGTTAATGCCATGAGCTCCAGTATAAATTTGATGAACACGCCCAAGTTTCCACTTCAAAGGAGGTAAGTTTTCATCTTTGAATACTACGAAGTCACCCAATTTCAGGTCTTTCTGCCGTATCTTCCATTTCGTGCGCTGCTGTAGTTCGGAGAGATACTCATTATGCCATCTGTTCCGGAAGTGGTTCCTGATCTGCTCCATCATCTGATATCTGATACTTATCGTCTTTGTGCTCATGTTTGGTGGTGGTGGCAGTGACACCAGCGGCCGCCCGACGAGAAAGTGCCCTGGGGTAATAGGAGAGAGATCTTGGTACATGTAAATTTTTTATATTTTTCAGGTTTTCCGTGACTTATTGACACAGAAATTAAAGGCGATTAGATGGATGTAGAAAGGAAATAAAGACTACCTTGACAAGCAGCGCCACGACGATCACCTTTGTCACCCAACATTGCTCCTCCAGATATATACGTCTTCGAAGTAATTTCCAAAAATTGTAGCCGAGTCCTATCACGCTCGCCAGTTTGTTAATGCAGCATTAAAGCTTCAAGTATAATATTTGATTTTTTAAGTGTTTAATTTCGTTTTTTAACATGTATGTAAATTTAATCTTTTTATAAGAAGAGTAACAAAGAGATATGAAAACTAAAAACTAGCTAGGCGCGCAGGTTACTGTCGCGGCCATCCTCTGTGGAATGGCGGTCGTCGACTGCCCCTCCATACTCCGTCGCCGCCTCTCTGCGGCCCTGTGTCCGCCTCAACAAAATGTTTGTATAGATTTTTGATTTTAGATAAAATAAATTGAATATCAAATAAAACTTTGGAAAAAAAAACAGTTTATTTCTCGTGTCACGCAGTGAACGGTATTAAATAGAAATTAATAAATATCGAGATAATCAGAGTCCATAACGTATTTCTGATATTTTTCAGAGTCATTCCTGGGTAAAGGAGTAAAATTAAAACTTGATAAACACTTTTACAGTTTAACGCTAGCACTTCACGCTTAGCGAGACAAGACGAGTGCTGAAGTGCGCGAGTGTGAAGAGGGTCCGCTCGTATTGACATCCGCTCGCCTCGGCACGTCTGCGATCGCTTTCGTGACGGTATTTTATGCTGAGATCAAAGCCAAAGTGTAACGTGTGGCGAGCACGAACACACCTTCCACGCGCTCGCATAAAATAGTATTAGGGTTACCACCTTTTTTTGGGCAAATAAAGTGTATTTACTTTTCTAAAATATAAATATAAAGTACGTGTGATAATATAGTGTTATTTATTTGACTTGTTTTTTGCCACAAGTATAGTTTTTGTTGATTTTAACATGTAAGAATTGCTTTTTATTGGTAAAACTCTAACAGAATCTTTACAGTCATGTCTTAGTTAAAATACATAAATAATTATTTTTAATTACGTTTAGGTACCTTCAATTAACTTAGATAATTTTAAAATATGTTTAATTACTACTTTGATAGTAGCTCCAGAGCTGAGCGTTCTCTGTCAATTTCACAGTACGCGAGAAACCCGGGTTCGATACCCGCTGGCACCAATAAAGTTAATAATTGCGATTTTAAATAAGTGCTAATTTACCACGTGCTCTATCGTGAGTTGAACCTGCATTTCTGAGAAATTAAAAAAGTATTTCGGAAAAGTCCGTCAATGCGAAGTCCTATGCCAAGAAGTGGATGAGCCTGTGAGTCTCACACTACAGGCAGTCTCCGAATGGTGCGATGCCAATCTCGTGAGATTTAACACCTCCAAAACACAAGCGTGTCTTTTTACCGCTAAAAGGAGCCCGCTCACCTTGGCTCCTACTTTCCGGAATGTATCCTTGGAGTACACTGACCGCCATCGGTTGTTAGGGATTGAATTTTCTCCGAACCTAAACTATGGGTGGTGAGTCCAGAGCCAAAGCAGCCGCAAGGAAACTTGGTGTCCTTGCAAGGGTGCGGCGGTACTTCACGCCGGGGCATCTTCTTACCTTATATAAAGCGCAAGTCCGGTCGTGCATGGAGTACTGCTGTCACATATGGGCTGGTGCTGCAAAATGCCACCTGGCAGCATTGGACTCAGTGGAGAGACGTGCTAAGAGGCTCATTGGTGACCTTGATTTGGTTGAAACGAATCATGTCAGCCTCGAGCACAGGCGCAGAGTAGCCAGTCTCTTGGTATTCTATAGGATGCATTTCGATGAGTGTGAGCAGGAATTACACGCCTTAATTCCTCCTTCTCCTTTCCACCATCGAACAACCAGACGGTCGGCGGGTCTTCATCCCTTTGTTGTCGATATTCCACGCATTAGAACCAAACGCTTTGCTTCGTTTTTTGTAATGCGTACAGTAAAGGAGTGGAATAATTTGCCGGCGTCTATCTTTCCGTCCGAATACAATCTAGGCGTCTTCAAGGCAAGAGTGAATAGGCTTTTGTTACAATAAGACAGTGCGATTTACCATCTAAGGCTGCATCACCACTTACCACCAGGTGGGATTGTGGTCACGCACTGGCTTATAAGAAGTAAAAAAAAAATTAAAAAAAAGTGGGATGTACATAAGCAACTAGTAAATTTACTTCCTACTACTTTGAATTTTTGACGCTTTTGACACTTTTGTGAAATAATACGTACAATACTCCATTATTAAGTACGGGTCAACCCTAGCCGAACGTGATTGATAATCTCAGGCTCAGAACCGTGCTATGTAGCATTTCTTGAAGGAAGCCCGTGTTTAGCAGTGGACTTCTGAAGAGCTGTAATGATGATGGTGATGACACTACGAAACTCACACATAACAATTAAAACAATAAACTAACAATTCAACACATACATAGACACATTACAACAGTATCGCTCGGTGACAGCGAAAACATCAGATTCAGACTGGGATCAGTCGCTCGACTGATTTGCATAATGTATGAGGACATACGACCTGTGTCGGTAAATAAATCAGAAACAACACAACCGTTATTTTAAAAAGAACGTTTTAAGTTTAAAAAGAAGTTAATAGCAATAATGTAATTAAAAATCACTTATTAATGAAAAGTAACACCATTTTTGTAAATTTGACGTGGTAGATCTCTTTTTGTTGGACAGATCTTCTTACTTTCTCATAAAACTGAACAATCCGGCATTTTTGTAGGACTTTGATTGAGCCGCGCAACTAGTTCATTCTAGTGAGCATTGCGGCCACAACTAGTTTTATAGACTTCTACTTTGACAGAGGGGAACTCCTGCGTATGGCTACTCCCCTCCGTTTCGTTTGTGTCCCGTTCCATTGTTCTATGCCAAAAACTGTCTACAAGAAATGTTATGAGTAAGTTGTTACTAGGTAAATGGAATTTCATTACACCCTTCTGACAAACCAACAATTTTTATTGCGCTGTTTTGCTTTATACTATATATACATTATACATATTTTTCTTCTTAATAATAATCATAAAAAAATCACAATAAAGCCCTTAAATGTCCAATGCTGGACATGGGCTCCCGTTGTTAGGATGATTTGCTTTAATCGTCTCGCTTGGCAGATTGCAGTACCAGACATCGTTTTTGAAATCTTTGACGCTGTTGCGTGTCTTGCGTGGATTATAGTATAGCAGTTATCGGAAGAAATTAGATTTTTTTATACTGGCATTTCCTATACTATTCGTGTCTTACGAATCCCGCACTACGAAACGGGGTGATGCATCCTCTCACAACGCTATAAATTGTTAATTTTATTAGTATTATATACTATTAATTTTTAATGTTATTACTTTTTTAAATCTAGAAATCTGAAAGCTGAAAAATACTTTGTCGTGAAATAATTTTTGAAATATATTTAAAAGTTGAAACTTTGTAATTCCCTGATGTTTCAAAGCCGGAGTTAGTTGCAATTGTTGTTTTCTGTTTTAAAATTTGTTGTATTCAAAGTTAGTTGCAATTGTCACTAATATTAAAAAAGTCTGAATTATGAAATTGACGTTCGTTTTTGTGTTTGTTTCCTTACTTTACCACGGCGGTAATGTTATAATAAATGAGATATATAAATTAAGTACAATATACATCTTTATGATAAATACACGCGTGATCACTCTTGCAAAGCCAAGAACATCTAATTGTTAATATGGCTTTAGTGGAGCCATGAGAATACTCCCATCTTCGGTTCAGATCTACAAATCCGACAGCACTTGACGTCCGATGGCGATCTCTCCTCGGGAAAGAATATCATCTCACCTTCTATCTCCTAGTAAATGATTTTAAATACGTCTTCCATTAGAAAGCGAGCCCTCTTTAGCTAGCTAGCTAGGTGGTTATTTGCACCAGCTAACAACCAGTCCCAGCGTAGCTACTGCGAATTATGAACTCTGAAAAACGAAACGTAAAAGCCCCCCAAGCCATTTAAGCGTCGAGTTATTTAATTATAGATTTTACTTCAGAGTCGTGATAGCTTAAGGATAAAAAATAATCACCTTAAAAATAGCATAGTGCATATGCAAACCGAGTTCGATCCACACCGGTACTAACTAAATTGTTATTTATTGAAACATTTTGTATGGGTGAGTAACAAGGAATTTTATCTTAATCTTGAGAGGTCTAATACAACTTATCAAATTTGGTTTTCTTAATTATGAAATAGCTACCTTTTATATTTAAAAATTACGTGTCACATTGTTTGTCCGCGATAGACTCCGAAAACACTCAACCGGTTTTAATGAAATTTTGGTAATTATGTGTAGGTATTGCTTGCTTCAACTTGAGAAATAGGGTAGAATTTATCTTTATAAGTGTGACCTTGAATGTGTGTGAATTTAAAGATTTTTTTAAAGGACAAAGGGTCGTTGGAAATGGCAGAACAAAGTCTGCCTGGCCAACAAATAATTTTATAATTCTAATACAAATGTATTGTAAAAATAAATATAAAATAGTTATTATATCAATATTTATTAATTTTACAATCAAAATTTTCTTCTAGTATTCATTAGTAAATAATCTTTTCTAATAACGACCCGATTCGTTTAGTATATCAGCGAAAGTAGGTTAAAGAGAATTGTGTCTCAATTGAATAAAATCTGGCGTAACACGGGTAATCAATACAAAGTTACTTAAATTACATATAAAAAAACATGAAGAAACTATTTTTATGGATTTTATATCGTTTCCTTTTACCTATTTTTAATCATGGTCACGGGGGGGCTTATAAGTTTGACTTCTCGATGTCTTAGTTAAACCGGAGTAACTTCAGCTTTTTAATTACTAATTTTGGTCCGTTTTTACGCAATACGAGTTTACTGTATTTTGAAGTCTTATTATAAATTTAAGAAAAAAACCAACTATAATGGCAGAAA